CCACATGCATAAAGACTGGAGAGACAGAGGGTTAGAAAAATGTGGTTAAAACAGCAAGTAAAGGAAAAAAGGTTTTAAAAGCTGTAACAGTGAGACCTGCATATGGTGTACAGGGACCAATTGTCCTGGTGTGATACAAGTCTGAGGGATGCATTTCACTGGCAGCAGAGATCCTGCTTTTGGGTGTCTGAGGGGCTCTGTAAAGCTCCTGGCACTGGGACGAGGTCCAAGCCTGGTTCTGACTCCTGCTCAGGGGCTGGGACTTTCCTTGTGTTTAACAGAGCATTTTGAGGAAACAGGAATTACAACTTGCTCACCTTCGTGTCGTGTAACAGCCGCGTGCTGAGCAAAGACCACAGCTGCCTGTCAGACCTCTGCTTTAACATATTCTTTTTTTTTTTGTCTTTAAATCTGCAGAACGTAGGTGTGAATAGGTCGAGAGAAGAAGCTTTGAGGACAGTCCCCACGCACCTATAGCTGCAGCTCCCGGGGCAGCAGCCCTTCCTCCAGCAGCTCAGGGCCCGGCGGTGTCGGAGCAGGGCGGGATGGACGCGCCTCCCCTCCCCTTCCCTTCCAGACATTTCGAATGTGATTCTGCTCCTTCAACAAAACCTGTGCTCGTGGATGACTCGGAAGGTATCGGTGAAAAGATGGTGGGGAGCAGAGCAGAGTTGGGTTTAGATTTTTCTTATGTAAATTTGTGCAGTTTCAGTGGGTTTTTACTGTTTGTCTGTGGATGACGCAAGGTGGTTAATTGCCCGTGTGGATTTTACTGTCAGATTTTAACTAGATTTTATTTTCTTTTTGTAAGTGTTTTTTCTAAGAGTTCTCTTATTTTTACTGTGAATGATTGCCTAGAATTACATGGAGTTTTTCGATGGCATATTTAACATGGGCAAAATTCTACATTTTGAGCACTGGAGGCTTCATGTTGCAAAGCTGCTTTAAATGGGGAAGCCCATAATTGATAATTGTCCTGTGTTTTGAGTTGAACTGTGGTTTGCCAACCACCACTTAAAATTTTTCAGAAATTCGCAAGGGAGATGTTCCCTTTGGAAAATCAAAGCATTAAAGCTGGATTTGCTATCTGGGAAATTCTGCTGTTTTAGCAAGATTTTGACACTTTCCAGAGACCAGGTGTATTTTGGAGGGCAGTGGGGGACATAAGTGTGAGTGACAAATGGGGAATGAAGGGAGAGCGATGGAGAGAGACCTGTCCTTTCTGCTGCAGTTATGGGAGAGGATGAGCAGCTTTTTTGAGTCTGGAAGGGAGGGGGAAAGGATTCAGTCTGTCAGGGCCTGGAGAAGCTGCTTGTCTTGTTAGTGTTGTCTTTATATTTTTAGAGAATTTTTGGAATGAATTTCAACATAAAAGTGTATGTTTTCTTTTATAGCCACATTTAATATGTACAGCACGAAACAGTACAGAAAGGTTAGGTGAGTTTAACCATTCTAACAGCTCATGCAACAAAAACACCAGGTAAATTCTGAAATAATTTTAACAAGGCACACCTGCCTTGGAGTTTTTTGTATTGTTTTTAAGCACCTTCCATCATCCCAATTCTTTGTTGCTCTTTTATGCCTAGTGAAACTCCAGTGCTAAAAATGGAATTTTCTCTGTCTGTCAAGGTCAACCTTTTAACTGTACTAAATCAAAGTGTATTTTGTATGTGTGTTACCAGACAACTGAAATGAGCTGCCAGCACTGCTGCTGGCTCTAGCTCTGCAATGAGGAGAACTATTCTTTGGTAGTTGAATTGTGTTTTTTCTAAGGATTCTCTCCAATTAATTGAACTTTTACCATGTGAGTTGGTGGGGTTGCTTTGTTGTTTTGGTTTTTTTTTCTTTTCTGAATTCCTGTGTGAAATACCAGGCCCTGGTAACATAGTTTTGCAGGCAAGGGCTAAATTGTCTTTTGTTTGTGCAGGGTTCATAAAATAATGTGCTGCTGTTGTGATTTTTTTTTTTAACAAGCTAAATTCAGCAATATATTCAGCTCTGGAAGTAAGCCATAGTGCATTGCTGGGTTCTGTTCCAGAGGAGGAATGTGTGGGTGCAGAATGACCAGGAACACTTGCTTCAAGCGCTGCTGTCTAAAGCTTTGTGTGTGTGTGTTATGGTAATGCCATTTCAGACCTTTATTAATTCAGCTGTGCCCGTAGTTGTGGGGTGAGGAGAGAGCCTGCCTGGCACTGCTCAGAGGAGTGAATTCATTGATGTGTGTTAACAAGGCCACCTTTGTGGCACAACCGAAGGAGCAATTTCCCCTCCCACGGTGGGGTGGGAAAGCCAGGCTGTGCCCCAGGCAGCCCTCGCTCCTCTGCTGGGACAGGAGGGGTGGTTAAGCCGTTTTTACACTGAGAATGTCAGGATTTATCTGTAAAAATCCCAGGAGGCTGCATTAGAAAAGTGGGATTTTACTGGCAGATTGTGAGCTCAGACCTGGCTGAAGAAGTGTGGGCAGAAATGTTTCCCCCAGTGAGAGCTGAGCCCAGGGTTGCTTCTCTTTGCTGGCAAGCATAGCTTGAAATGTCTCCTCTCCCACTTTGTTTTACCTCTCTGACCTGTCAGAGGTGCTGTAACATCCTCAAGGCTACATGTTCTATGTACAGTAGGTATTTTTATAGCCTGCTTTCAAATATACTGTGATGAGTGTTTTACTGCAATGGGTGTTCAGTAAAAAGAGTTGTATAGAAGTGTAAATAAACTATTGTGCTGATACTTGAAGAGGAAAAAAAAAAAATGAAGTTGTTGGTTCTACAGTAGGAAGGTACTAAATCAGTGACTGCATCTGACCCTGGCTGGAGAGAGCAGGTGCAGATGATGAATGTAGATTTGAGCTGAATGTAGATTTGGAGTGATGGGTTCTCCCAGGGTGTAACCCTGACTGCTGTTCTGGGAAGGCACAGTTGAGAACTGCAGTTAATTGTCACTTTCTGTAAGTGTGTCCCCCACTCCTGACAGAGCACTCACTGACAGGGGAGGGGAAGACCCTTGTCCTGACCTTGTGTGTTTGTACCATTTGACTGCCTCTGTTCTACTGTACCTGGCTCAGATGCAGTCTCTGGACTGGGATTAAACTGTCCTTTCTTACATCGTTGGCCTTTGTTGTGATCTTTCAGACAAATGTAATCATTTGACCTTTGATCCAAGTAATAAAGATCAAATGCTACAAGGTGCACTGATGTGTGTTTCTTTCCATGTCCATTTCCAGTGAGCGTTCCTGAGCCTCAGTAGGGTTCCACAGCTTCCACAAACTGGGATTAGGGAGATTAGATATAACTGCAAGGATTATATTAATTCCCCTTGTGGTTGCTTTACTGTGACAAATAACTATGATTTAAGTAGGAAGGTCAATAATGGAGGAAGAAGTTGGAAGAACTGATTAAATAAATGCATGTCAGGATTTGCACATGATGGAGGAGAAAAGTGAGGCTTTGTTAGCTTTACCTGGTCACTGGGATTAAGATCTGCTCCACCCTCTCAGATTTACTCTGTTCTTGCATTGTCTTGAACACACTGCTGGTGTTTTGAGAAAGGTGAAAACCAACAGCCAAATGCTGCCTGTCAGTACAAGTTTGTATGCAGAGGGGAGCTGGAGGGCATTACATTTGCAGGGGTACTTATTCTTCAGAATGACAAGGACAAAATTAATGACTGCTTTTAGAATTATGTACTCATATTTTCATGTCTTGCTGATTGCAGCCCCCCAGGTGGTAACCACTTGTCTCTTCTGGGCTGGGTGGGAGGAGTGTTTTAATTGTTTTTTAACTCCTCTGTGTATTTCTGTTTGGGGAGCAGGTAACTTCTTTGTTTGTTTCAGAACTTTTAGGCTGCTTTCTGGACAAAATCTCTCAAAAGCTGTAGTATGAGGATGACCCAGAGCCGATGGGTGAGTGAAGCCAGGTGGTGCTCACAGGTGGCCCTGGGCTGCAGCAGTTCTGCAGAGGAGGCTGTGGAGCTTTGGTGCCTGTGCTGTAACACGGGTGAGTGTGCAGGGCAGGGGCTGAGCAGGACAGGGCTGCAGAGGAAAGGGATCTGTGCCCCTCTGTGAGTGCAGCTGGGCACAGCTGTGGCAGCAGGAGATGCTGCTGGAACATCAGTCAGATGCCAGCTGGAAGAGTTGCTGTGTGAAGCCTCTTGAGTAGATCTGGCACTTGTTACTCCAGAGCAAAGCAGGTGAATACAGGGAGCCAATTCCCACAAGGAATATTTACTACTCCTTATGATTGATAACAGCTTCTTTGTGTGCAGATACCCACTGCTCCTGGCACCCACTTTTGGAACTCCTTCCCCAGAAATGCCTTTCTGCTCGGGTGCAAGGGCACAGCACTCACCTTGGAAAGCAGAATCACTTTCTGGTGGCAAATGGCAAAGCAGAAGTGGCTCTGTAGGTTATGTGAAGGGGAAAAGCCCAGGTTCCTGCTCTCCCTGCAGCACCTCACAGGGCACTGCTTGTTGCCTTGGACTGGGGTTGGTAACGCAGGCCAGCCCTGGCTGTTTGGAAATGCCAGCTGTGTCCTGCCCCTTCCAGCCTCAATCTGCTGCAGGCTCAGATGCCATCCCAGTCATGCTGGCATTACTTGGGTTATAGCAATAAACTAGAGCTGTTCTTAAGGAGCAGAACAAAGGCAGCAGTGTATTTTTTGAATCTCTACGAAGTATTACAGCTTTCCGCTGCTCTTTCAGCAGGATTAACAGTCTGAAATCTACCCAGAAGTTCCAGGGTTTTCCTAGGAGTTCTGTGGCATTCCGTAACTCTTGAATGAACTGACACGTACATTTTTTCTGCCTGTTCAGTGTTAAGAAAATCAAATAATTTGCAACAGCCTTACAAGATACAGAAAGCTCCTGAGAAGCAAAGAAACTTTGCTTCAGCCTGAATTTTATGAGCTGGATTCAAGGCAAAGGTTTTGGAAGGAGCTTTGCAGTTATTACATTAGTTTTTCTTTCTCTCTAATGGCTAAAACTCAAAATTCAGAAGTAGGTGTTGCAAGGCAGCAGGATCTGGTTTTGTGCCCTTCTAACAGCAAGCAGGAGGAGCCACAGCTGCTGTGTTACAAACAAGCAAATAAAACTGGAAGAAGGATTTTGTGTTTGGCAGTTAAACAAATAATTCCTCAGGCAGAGCAGGCAAGTAATTCTACAGTCATTACCTGGGATCTGTCCTGCTGTGATTGTTGTGGCTGTTAGCAGGAAGTGGCATTTAGTGGCAGAACCCCACATTCCCAGGCAGGATGGGGCTGCTCTGGGATGCTGAGGCCTCTTTGTCTCATGCTTGGACTGCCTTGGAATAAATATGAAGCATTTATTCAGCAAAAGCCCCTTGAGCTGTTTCCCACAGCAGCTGGTGTTACACTAGGAATCTGCTTTCTCCTGACACTTCATTTTGTTTAATTCACAAAAACAAGAAATGTTTTAAGAAAGTGAGCAGGGCTGACCAAGCATTATTTTTTCACTGTACCTTAAAGACCACTGGAGTTAAATGGTATATTTTTAAAAATCATAGAGCCGTGAATGAAAGTTACATTAAACTTTCTTTTAATTGAAGACAAATAAAAGAACCAAGGGCTCAAACACATTTTATAAAGACATCTTCTGTTCCCCAATGTCTTCTCTTGAGCAAAATATACAGCACACACATATATATAACATAACTACATTCAAGTACCAAACAGAATTTACATTTCCCAAACAGAGAAAATAATGCACATGATTCACATACCTTAAACCCAACCATGCATAAAAACACTGCCAATAAATCAGGTGTTGAACATAATTCATCACACTAGGGTGTATTATTCTGAAGTATCGACGTTGTTGGAATGCATTGACACTTGGGAGTCTGGTTTGTAACCCTGCTGCAAAGTCCAGCTCTTCAGAGACTTACTTGTTCAAGATCTGTTCAAATTTTGGGTTAATAAAAGAAAATCCATCAAATGCAGACTGGTCCATGGACTCAATCAGGTTTTTGTCACTGTAAGACAGTTTTGGCTTCTCGCTCAGAAATTCTCTGTCAAAGTTGTTGTAGTCACTTGCTGATTTCTGTATTAGAGAGGAAAGACAGTTTGAGACAAACTGTATTTTCTTCAAGAACAAATCACCTAAATACAAAATTCTGTGAAGTTAGTCTTTTAGCTCCCTCCCTCCTTCCTCTGCTTTAGAGAGAAAAAAAAATATCTCATTTTAACCTATTCATCACACTAGGGTGTATTATTCTGAAGTATCGACGTTGTTGGAATGCATTGACACTTGGGAGTCTGGTTTGTAACCCTGCTGCGAAGTCCAGCTCTTCAGAGACTTACTTGTTCAAGATCTGTTCAAATTTCGGGTTAATAAAAGAAAATCCATCAAATGCAGACTGGTCCATGGACTCAATCAGGTTTTTGTCACTGTAAGACAGTTTTGGCTTCTCGCTCAGAAATTCTCTGTCAAAGTTGTTGTAGTCACTTGCTGATTTCTGTATTAGAGAGGAAAGACAGTTTGAGACAAACTGTATTTTCTTCAAGAACAAATCACCTAAATACAAAATTCTGTGAAGTTAGTCTTTTAGCTCCCTCCCTCCTTCCCCTGCTTTAGAGAGAAAAAAAAAAAAAATCTCATTTTAACCTATTTTAACAAGACTTTGAGATTATAACTGGGCACTTTGTTATTGTTAGTTGGAAACCAACAGAAAAACCAAACCCAGGTTGCTTTGAAGAAGAAACCTGGATTTGGAATAACACTGGGTTATTACCCAAAGGTTTTCTGTTGACAAAAGCAATGCAGCATTAACTTACACATCAGACCAACATTTTTTGCCTTTAACCAAAATGTTTAAATTTCTTAGAACATTTTACAGGCTATACTTGTTCAGAGAATAAAGCAATGCCCTACAGCAGCTGTTTTGTGTTTAATAAATACTCATGTAACTAGAAACTGTTCTACACTCTCAACCACCAAAGACTTCCCACTTCTGTGAGAACAAGCAGCACAAAACCTTGTGTGTTTGCAGGGGACAGCTCTCCTCCACAGAGTACATTTTAAAGAGACTGTTGCCTGCAGACCATTTCACCTGTTCCAGGAACAGGCTGGAGAAACACTGGTTTGGGATTTTAACCACGTGAGCTGAAGCAGCAGCATCCCACTGTGATACAGACTGAGTTACAGTCTGTTCTGCAGGTGTTTTTCCAGGTAACATCAGGCATGTACATGAATTCCACGTTCAGTAGCTTAGAGAATGCTGCTTCTTGCCCCCTTGGAGATGCCTGGGTGAGTTTGAAGCAGCAGAGATTTAATGCTTGCACGAGTGCCTGCAGTAGGTACCAGCTGAGCAGCCTGGAGCTACTGCTGCTCCTCCCATGTGGCATTTCAGAAAAGCAAACTGCAAGGAACTGTGAACATTCTAACACGGAGAGAAATGGAGATCAAAGCTATCTGTTTGTTGGTTTTCATGAACATTTTATCCACAAAGCTCCTTGAGAGCAACAGGAGGACAGTCTTAAGAGGAAGATCTCAGGGCAGTCAGAGGAGTACAGAGCAGCTGTGTATAACTGAACCATCCAAGAACAACGGGCTTACAGATACACAACTTTCTCATTTGTAAAATGTGAGGAGAAAATGGCAGTGGGAGCCTTTGTGCAGGAACAGAATTCACCCCTGACCCCTGGGCTGCTGTTTACTAAGAACCAAGAACAACCCACTTACCACTTTTGGCCTGAAGGGAGGGTCCACCTCCCTCTTCTCTAGTGCTGTCCAGTTGATTGTTTTGAAGAAAGGATGGTCTCTGATATTCCCAGTGACCCCAAGTCGTTTTGCTGGATCCCTTTCAAAGAGCTGCAGGAGAAGACACCCAGTAAAGAGCTGCTCCAAAGGGGCAGAGCAGTGCAAGAATTACAGGTGTGGTGCTAAAACAGCCAAGGGTGCTGACAGCAAACAGAGCATTAGGAATTAATCTGACCTGGCTTTCCCTTTGTCAGAGCAATTTGCTGATGAACAGCTCCTTGGTTAGGAGATCTGTCTCTCCCTGCACTGAGGCAGTACCAGCACCCCAAGCTGCCCATCAATCCTACCTTTTCCAAGATATCCTTTGATTCCTTGGTGATCCAGCGGGGGTAGTGAGGGGTGTCCACTCGGATTGACTCAAACAGTTCATCTTCATCATCCCCATGGAACGGGGACTGGCCAATCAGCATCTCATAGAGCAGCACCCCAAAGGACCACCAGTCCACGGAGAAGGTGTAGCGCAAACCCTGCAGGATCTTGGGCCGCACAGGAGGGAATTCACGTAAGGGGTAAGAAGCAGCAATACATCCCAAAAATCAGGAGAGGTATTTCAAGAGAGAGTCTTTAATGACTAGAGCACTTGGGGAAAAATAAAAGTCCATCTCTCTGGGAAACTGTGGACACTGATGCAGAGCTGTGGTTTTACCCTAGGCTGCTGTTTGTGGCAATGTGGCCAGCTCCATGGACAGGTCTTTGCTCTCATTGGGAAATTTTCTCCCTTAACTTTAAATAACCATAGACTTAAAAAACATCCTCTCTAGTTTCTTTAAAAGCCGAAGGCAGAAGCAAGTAGTGATGCATAGCAGATTCCTACAGAAGTCTTGGATATAATTTATAGCTTTAAAAGCAAAATACCTTTGTTGAACTGCTTTGCAAATGGGGTTTAAAAAATCCCAACAAACCAACACACAGAATTAAACTCTGTGAGATTCCCCTTAAAAGTTCCTTTTGTTTTGAATTCTGGTTGTTTGCACAGGCACAAGTCTCTTCTCCATCTGCAGTGCACATACAGATTCATTCTGCAGAAGCTTCATGGATGTGCTGGCTACACCTAACCCCCAGCTCTTAAAAACCTGAGCATTTTAACTTTCCAAACCCACATTTTTTTTTAAACTTACAGCTACAGAATATTTTGAAATCTCAAGTACCTTCTATAAAACACAGATAAATTTTTTTTCCTCTGATTTTTACCTCTAATTAGACTTAGACTTTTCTGAACTATTAGTCTACAAAGAGGTGATTAATCACAGCAGCTCTTGTGCCATCAGGGCACTAAATCCCTGCCAGCAGTGTCTGTCTGTGTGCCATACTGACCTCGGGAGCGATGTAGTCGGGGGTCCCACAGAAAGTGCTCGCCTTGCTGTCACCAACAATGTTTTCTTTGCACATTCCAAAATCAGCTATTTTGATGTGGCCTTCTTTATCAACCATCACGTTGTCCAGTTTTAGGTCTCTGCAAAGTGTTTTTAAAACATTGTGGTTTGAGTAATTTTTATAATCAGATGCACACAGTTTGTTCACTGATAAACACCTCCTCAACTGCACACATAAAGGCTTTTCCAAAAGAATAATCATCCATTGACACCATCCATCCAAAATGGTACCTTTGTGCTGTGAGGGCATGAGGGACAAGGGAAGAATTCTCTCTTGTCAAAGAAAAGAAGAGGCTGAGGTGTATCTATAGAATGTGACCTTATAACCCTCCACATTTGCTTTCAGATGCAGAAGCACAGCCAGAGCTTCTGTTGCTGCTGCAAGGTGTGAGAGTTGTGCCCCAGCAGCTGACACAGCAGTGCTGCACCACCTCCAGGGCTCAGAAGGAGGATTGTGCTGGATTCTGAGAGCCTTTGGCAGGAATTTGACTGTTTGAAACCTGCCCAACTCTTAGCACTACCTGTGACTTTTCCTGCTTACAGCACAAGTTCATGTGTTGTGGCACGGCCTGTGAAGGGTTCTGTTCATGTCTTTTCTCAGAACAACACTATTCAACCAAGAAAGAGCTTTTTTTCCCAGCAGTTTCCAAAAGTTACATTCCCTCCCTTTGACCATGCTGCATTTTTTGTCCCTCTGGCTGCAAATGCACATACCAAGGAGGGCAGGCTGAAGAGAAACTGAACAGCCCTCTGCTTACCAAGGGCTGAAATAGAGCAGAGAATTTCACATAGGAACAGGGCAGTCTTTTCTCCTGGGTAACTGAAGTTCTCAGAACCAGCAGTGGATCAGGGTCTGGCCCTTGATGCTTCAACCTGATGAAGCAGAGGCATCAATGTTGTGGTTTCACCAGAAGGCAAAAGCAGGGAACTTTCACCTCAGTGGTTTGCTCAAGGAGCCTCTCCCGCACCTCCACACTAAACAGACTCATGATTTGAAGGCAGTGTTTGAAAATGACTGAAACAAAACTGCTTTTGTGTAACACAAATCCCATTCCATCATTCCAGTTGCCAAGGAAAAAACCACACAAATAGAGATTCATTTCAGGCATGTTAATGGCCTTGGAACTACATCAGATCTCTGACAGACAGCTTGTGTTTGTTACATCAGTCAGGAATTCAAAGATTCATGAAGTGCTAAGACAATTCCCAGGTCCCAGCCTGGAGCTAGCTGGTACTCACCTGTAAATAATGCCTTTGCTGTGAAGAAACTGGAGCCCACATAAAATTTCAGCTCCATAAAACCTGAAAAGACCAAAACAGCTTTTAATCTTCGCTCAGTTACAACAGTCAATGCAGGTAGCCAAAACAATGCTGTGGGCACCTTTTCATGGAGTGAGAAGCTCTGTACACATCTTTAAATCCCAGTGCCTGTGTGTTTGTGCAGCCAGTGCTGTAACCTGCAAGGTAATCCCTTCACCACACATCGGCAGTGTCCAACACCAAACAGCAGAGGGGACACGGCAGCAGCTGCTGCAAGGCTTCATCCCACTTCCCTCAGGCAGCACCATCCCCGCCCTCCTCTTCAATAACAGACTTTGTACGGTTTTAGGGATAGGCACGTGCCTTTGAAAGAGAGCTGTGGGAGCTCAGCCCTCCAGGATTGCTGCAGGAGGGACTGGGCACCAGTGCAAGGTGAGAATTGAGCCTCACCCGTCTCCCTCTGCCTGGTCACAGACACCCTGAAAGATGCCACCACTTCAGGGGCACTCTCCTCAAAAGAAAGAGGTGATAATCTAGGGGACATGAAGCAAAATCTGAAAGAATGCTTCCCTCTGCCCCAAAAAGAATAATTTCTTTTTAAATTGGAAAAATACAAAACTGTTTTAATTACTGTATAGCAGATGAATGTTGGTCCAAAACAAACAGCACAGAATATAGCCAGAGAGGATGCCAGAGGTGTTTGCTGGGATCCAGGTAAGATGGAGGGGCTTTATCCACACTTTTGCTGGGAAGAGTGGGGAGGGAGCTGACCTATACAACTGGCTGCTGTTGATGCCAGACTTCTTGTGATCCCATCCAGTCAGCAATCCTCAGTGCAGTGCCAGTAACAGAAGTAATTTTTCTGGGGCTTACAGACAGGTCCAGTAGTCTGCACTGTTAGTTTTTAAGGTTTACATGCCACCCCTTCAATGATGCCATTACAACACCCATGGGTTTGGATGAGAGAAGTAGAAACTGACCTCAAACTAAGAATGATAGCTAAAGTAACAATAATAGAATATTTTTGCGCCCTTTAAAGATCACTGCAGCTGAAAAGTCACAGATAACTGACACAAGTGCACTTACTAAACAAAGTGCTTACCCATTTAATTAGCATTTCATGGAGTAGTGTAATGGTTTTTGGCACTATCATGTCAATTTAGCAACAGCAGTAAAGAAGTGCTGAATCTTTTCCTCCCCATGCTGTTTTCCAATTTTTTTCCATCAGAATACTGTCCTAAAGTGCACTGAAGCTGTGCCTTTTGCTTTTCAGTGCTGGCTCACGTTGCAATTTATTTTGCACCTCTAGGAACAAGCACCCCATAAAGTACAACATCACAGATACGTAAATTAAGGAAGCCCAACTCCACACATCATTAAATGAACTTCATTGTATTCAGCCAGTGCCTAGAAACATGTTTTCAACCCTCAGCCACTGCAACTTGACTGCAGGTAAGGAGGGGCACAGAACCAGAAGCCATGAAGAGATGAAACCATGCACAGAGGTGGGCAATGAAGGGCTGAGGACTCACGTTGCTCTGTAGAGGTCGAAACGCCCCTTGTCTTGGATGTGGAACATCAGGTCTCCCCCATTCAGGAACTCCATCACGAAGAACAAGTGATCCTTTAGCAGGTAACCAGGGAATGGAACAGTTACTGATGCCATCCAACCATAAATGAAGGAGCACTGTGCCTCCAGGGGACCAAGCTGCCACCTCCCTCTTCTCCTGAAGGATTTTTGGTTTCATGTACCCCTGTGAGGCTCCTACAGAGTTGAGTGGCCTGGCCTTGTAAATATAAATATCTGATCCTGTATTCTGTGGGTTTCTAGACTTAACACACTCTGAAATGGACTTTCTGATTTCAATCTGTGACAGTCATCCTTTTCCCCTCACCAAGGACAAAACTCAGATTAAGGACTTAATTAAACTCCTTCTTATTCCAGACTGCATAGATGTTCTTCTGATCTTACTCTCTTCTTATCAAGGTATGTGTTGTCATACTCTGTGAATTGCACAGAGCACAGGAAAAGGACATTTCATTCTTGCATCACTAAATTACTTTGATTTGACCGCTGGTATCAGCATCCATTAAAGGCTCAATCTGTTGTGTTGCTGTCACCATTTAAATTTTTCTTACCTTTGTCTGAAACGTGCAGTAAAGATGTGTGAGAAATGGATTTTCCCAGGCAAGAGCAAGGACCCTCTTTTCCACCATGGTACATTCCACATCATCATCAATTAGCACCACGTCCTTTTTCAGAGCTTTGATGGCAAAGAATTCATTCTTCCCTTTCAGCTCTGCAAGCAGAACCTACAAAAAATGAAAGATGAGAGTACAGCACGTTTAGGAAAGAACTGATGCTGAATGTATCAGTCAGGGAAAGCCAAAGGTATTTATAGCAGGTGCACTGGCAATTAAAAAACACATTTAAGTGGGAAAGATGAGGGAGGTTTGGGAAGGTGAAGCTGCTGGACACAGAGGAGGAGATGGGGCTCAAGGACCAGGCACCACAGGCAGTTTTTCTGTCAATGCCTTGTGAGTGCATGAACAGCAGCCATGTAAATAAAGCCTGGTCTGTCACTGAGCTGCAGTTTCAGAGACAGCAGTGGACACAGTTTGGAGGTCACACTGCTCTCTTAAACATCCCCTGCTACTCCACTGGGGCACTGGGAGGCTGCTGTGTGGAGGGAACAGAACTAAAATGTCCATTTGCACTGGATATGTGCATTAAAGGGCAATTCCTCTGCCTCTGTGCTAAAAACTGACAAACTGCTGTGTACTGGAATCACTTTGGGGTTCACACAAGATCCAGCTGATGAATTTCCAGTGTCTTTGACAAAGATGTCTACATACAATTCTGTTAGAAGATTACTGACCCAAGAAGCTGTGAGACCTTTCTGGTGAAAGAAACAGCCCATCACATTGCAGACACCTGAACTCTCAGTTTGTCACATACCTTCCCAAAGCTTCCTTTCCCCAGCACTTTGTGGAAGACAAAGCTGTCTATGTTGAATTTTCTCCTTGCAGTTCTTGGCGCTGGCTTGGTTGTGTTTACCTCCCAGAGCTTGTCGTACTCGCTGTTATCTGCTGAGCAAAACAGGGAGGGGAAAGTTCAGGGGATGCAGGAACCCTGCAGGACTCAGAGCCCTGGGCAGGAATGAGGTACTGGTGGACCTAAACATAAGGGACAAGTCCTGGGTAAGCTTTTCACATGACCAGGAGATGGTAAAAACAAAGACATGCTGCTTTTTTTAACAGCACTTATTAAAAAAATTGTCTTACACAAGGCAAGAATGAATAACCTCTTAAATTGTCTGGTAGCTAAGTGGTTGTATTGAAACATTGTCTGTTTCCTCACCTGTTGTGTCTCCTCCTGGAGCTTTATGTTTCTTATCAAAATCTTGATAAATACCAACACTTTCTACAGATCCAGAATCAGACCTTCGTGTAGATTTCTGGGGAGAAGGGGAACATTTGAAATTATATTGTCAATGTTACTTTAGAAATAGAGTAATAGCTTTAAATGTAACATGATGACAGCATAAACATTAATTTTAATTATTAACTCCCAATATGTATCTTGTCTCAAGAATTTGGTTCACAGACCATTTAGTCATCTTCTTTACAGCTTCACACCAGCCATTTGCATTATTTCCTTCACTGCAAGAAAATAAGTCACTGAAATTCCTGAACAGTCTATGTTCCATTGTTCATTGCAATTAAAGGTATAATGGTTGGAACCACAGCGGAATGGATTTGAACTGTGGGAAAATGTCCCCTTGGATGTCTGCTCATGTGAAAGAGGAGATGGGAATCACTGTTTTACTGACATGCTGAAGCCATAGCTGGATGTGTCCTTAGCACAGGGAAACCACGTTTACATGTGGGAGATCCCTGAGATCAAATTTCAGCAATGAAAATACTGAGCTCCTGTGTCATGAAAGAGCTGCCACAACAGCTCTCACTGTTTTCAAAGTAAACATCCTGTGAAAGCTTAGGAATACACATCTCAGAGGAAGCACTGCTGGCTTTTGTGATATATTTTCCTGTTTTATTTCAGAGCTTGTGTCTGAACCTTTATTTGCAGAAGCTGACCACAAAAGAATCATGCTGCAGCAGGAGATGAACAATGCAAGCCATGGGGCCAGCATTAATTCCAGAGGGGTTTTCTCTGTGTGTGTGTGTATATATATTTATATCAGATGAATAAAAAATGAGACTAGCTGGTATATTTCTCCTTATTCATTTAATTTTATCATTCAAGTGGAATTTTAAAGTTGAAGCATGTAAAAACAGATTTTCAGCATTACAATGCCACTGATTAACCCGTTAAACAGAAAGGAACAGAATAATCTTGGCACCACAGAAGAACAAAATTGGATTTCAGGAAGTCACACACCTTTTAAAAAATTGTTTAAGTGGCATACCCTCTTCCCTATTTCAGTTTCAGGTTATTGATATCTTTGTTAGTCTCTATAAGTGTCAAATTAAAAAAGACAAAGCTGTTCCCATTTCCTATTTTCCAAATACACTTTCCCATACAAGTGATGCAGAAAAGATGATGTGAAAACCCCCAAATGCTCTGAAAACAAGTAATTACCTGAGAAATGGCAATAAAGCCTACCTGGCTAACTTGATTTAAAGCTTCAGCTAGCAACTTCTGGTTTATTCCACATAAGTTTGCCACCTTCTTCTGGCATTTATGATGCACATTCATCCCACATTCTAAAAGAAATGTAAGGATTGTTATACAAGCATCAGGAAAATACTGACATTACAACAAACAGGGCTGTTCTGTGCAGTTCAGAAACGTTTTTTTTAAGACTAGACTGGACATGGACCTGCCATTGCCACCAAAATTACAGTTTTTATCCTTTAACACAATGAAGGCTAAAAAGAAATTTCACAAGAGAAAAACCTCCAATCATCATTATTTTATTCTCAAAATCTGTTACAATAAGGATCATACTGCCTTTTTGTGGGAGAATTGTAAAAGCAATATTACAGTAAACGCTTTGAATGCAATTTGAGTCAGTCTCCAAATTTCAGCTATTCCCAAAGCAGTAATTTTGATAATGATTACACCTCTGCAGTGTTTCCTGCCTCCTCCAGCAGCTCACCTTGGCTGAGCTGTCCCATGAGCCCAGTGCCTCCGTCTCTCTTTTGTACAAAAGCTTTTTTACCCCATATGGACGAGACGAATCCCACCCTACAGGACACACGGAAAGGCACAGAGTGCACCACCCTGGGGGAGCACTGGGAAAGCACAGAGAGCTGCCAGCTCCCTCCTCCTGCTCACCTTCGCACTTGAGCCCCTGCCTGACGAGCCCCCAGAGCAGGCTGCCGCAGTGGTCACAGAAGGTGGGGCTCATGTAGTTGTAGACTCGGAAGCGGTGGGGCATGTCGATGTTGAAGCGCTCCTTCTGGAACTGAGCACAGCCACAGCCATTGCACCTCAGCCTGGGCTCCCTCCCGGCGGGACACGGCTCTGCCACACGCAGCACCCACCCTCCCTCCCTCACAGGGCTTGAGGATGCTTTGCTCACTTGGAAGCTTTGCCCGCTGCCTGTTCCAGAACTTTACACAGCTCTAAGCAAAGACAGAGCCTTGGGTTGTACAGCCAGGCATCTCCCAAATGGAGTTGTCGGCTTCTGTACAAGGTTTTGTTAGTTCAGCAATGTTTAATTACATAATTACACTCGAAATATATTGTTTCAGCTCTTACCATTGTGTCCCTGCTGTTGGCTGCAGTGCCAGTACACCTCCCAATGATTTTATCAATGCATTTCTTATGAATAGCAGCATTGCATTCTTCAAGACATGCACAAGGAAAAAAAGCATTAATTCAGATGATAAATACATGGGATGAGGTGTTTGCACTTAATGGCAGAATGTGAAAATCACACTCCTGCATCACACTATATACACCAAAACACTATATTTTCTATCAAGATTATAATATTTTTTTAAGATGGTTCCTCCACCCCTTTTCTTTTACCATAAACTTTATTTCTAAACTAAATCAGCAATGCCCCCAGCATTTGATAACAGAAGGACAATATTATGCTTTTGAGTTTTCCCCTTTGATAGCTCCTCCCTGCTTGGAGTAATGCACAGATCTTGCCAAGTCAAAGGTGATTTTCAATTCAGCTGTAAAACCCCTCAGTAGTTGTAATTCACTTTATAAAAGGTTTCACCAAAAACTGCTGTCATAAATGAGTGCAACTGTTCAATAAATTACACACCTCTGAGAAGAACAGCTAAGTCTAAATCTTGATACTGAAATCCCAGATAGGAATCATAGGTTCCTTTGGTCATTGTGCAAAATTGATATTTAACTTCTACCACTACCCATAGTGATGATGCATTGTGCCATGCATATTTGCACATTTTTTTCCATTTCCTATTTTCCAAATACACTTTCCCATACAAGTGATGCAGAAAAGATGATGTGAAAACCCCCAAATGCTCTGAAAACAAGTAATTACCTGAGAAATGGCAATAAAGCCTACCTGGCTAACTTGATTTAAAGCTTCAGCTAGCAACTTCTGGTTTATTCCACATAAGTTTGCCACCTTCTTCTGGCATTTATGATGCACATTCATCCCACATTCTAAAAGAAATGTAAGGATTGTTATACAAGCATCAGGAAAATACTGACATTACAACAAACAGGGCTGTTCTGTGCAGTTCAGAAACGTTTTTTTTAAGACTAGACTGGACATGGACCTGCCATTGCCACCAAAATTACAGTTTTTATCCTTTAACACAATGAAGGCTAAAAAGAAATTTCACAAGAGAAAAACCTCCAATCATCATTATTTTATTCTCAAAATCTGTTACAATAAGGATCATACTGCCTTTTTGTGGGAGAATTGTAAAAGCAATATTACAGTAAACGCTTTGAATGCAATTTGAGTCAGTCTCCAAATTTCAGCTATTCCCAAAGCAGTAATTTTGATAATGATTACACCTCTGCAGTGTTTCCTGCCTCCTCCAGCAGCTCACCTTGGCTGAGCTGTCCCATGAGCCCAGTGCCTCCGTCTCTCTTTTGTACAAAAGCTTTTTTACCCCATATGGACGAGACGAATCCCACCCTACAGGACACACGGAAAGGCACAGAGTGCACCACCCTGGGGGAGCACTGGGAAAGCACAGAGAGCTGCCAGCTCCCTCCTCCTGCTCACCTTCGCACTTGAGCCCCTGCCTGACGAGCCCCCAGAGCAGGCTGCCGCAGTGGTCACAGAAGGTGGGGCTCATGTAGTTGTAGACTCGGAAGCGGTGGGGCATGTCGATGTTGAAGCGCTCCTTCTGGAACTGAGCACAGCCACAGCCATTGCACCTCAGCCTGGGCTCCCTCCCGGCGGGACACGGCTCTGCCACACGCAGCACCCACCCTCCCTCCCTCACAGGGCTTGAGGATGCTTTGCTCACTTGGAAGCTTTGCCCGCTGCCTGTTCCAGAACTTTACACAGCTCTAAGCAAAGACAGAGCCTTGGGTTGTACAGCCAGGCATCTCCCAAATGGAGTTGACGGCTTCTGTACAAAGTTTTGTTAGTTCAGCAATGTTTAATTACATAATTACACTCGAAATATATTGTTTCAGCTCTTACCATTGTGTCCCTGCTGTTGGCTGCAGTGCCAGTACACCTCCCAATGATTTTATCAATGCATTTCTTATGAATAGCAGCATTGCATTCTTCAGGACATGCACAAGGAAAAAAAGCATTAATTCAGATGATAAATACATGGGATGAGGTGTTTGCACTTAATGGCAGAATGTGAAAATCACACTCCTGCATCACACTATATACACCAAAAGTTTATTTTCTATCAAGATTATAATATTTTTTTAAGATGGTTCCTCCACCCCTTTTCTTTTACCATAAACTTTATTTCTAAACTAAATCAGCAATGCCCCCAGCATTTGATAACAGAAGGACAATATTATGCTTTTGAGTTTTCCCCTTTGATAGCTCCTCCCTGCTTGGAGTAATGCACAGATCTTGCCAAGTCAAAGGTGATTTTCAATTCAGCTGTAAAAACCCCTCAGTAATTGTAATTCACTTTAGAAAAGGTTTCACCAAAAACTGCTGTCATAAATGAGTGCAACTGTTCAATAACATTACACACCTCTGAGAAGAACAGCTAAGTCTAAATCTTGATACTGAAATCCCAGATAGGAATCATAGGTTCCTTTGGTCATTGTGCAAAATTGATATTTAACTTCTACCACTACCCATAGTGATGATGCATTGTGCCATGCATATTTGCACATTTTTTTTCAAGATCTCCAGATTCAGCAGCATAAGAAGAAATTAAAAAAAAAAATCAACTTACGCCTACATTTGTATCCCTGCTTGTTGAGTCCCCTGAAAAACAAATTATAAAAAAGGAAATCAATACATTTTCTGGAATAAAAGATGGCTGGTTTTTATTTTATTTTCACCATGTCAAACAACAAATTAATAAATTGGTCTAAATTCTGGTAATCAGAATCTTCTGTCTTAGGACAGCAGTGTTTACAATATAAGGTCCTGTACCTGACAGACCAGCAAATTAGGAAGAAAACCCAGAAGAAAACAAGGTTTCAAATACATGGAAAATCCTCCCAACCTAACTTAGGACAAAACCAGCGTTACTATGAAAGGGATCCAACTTCTCTGTGGGTCTCTAGGCTGCCATCAGTCACTTCACATCTCAAAGTCTGGCCATTGTTTTCTCAAACCCACCCCTCTTGCTCTCCTGTGGCAGAGCTGCTGATGATCATGGCCACAATCACTTGATGCTGATGGAGTTTCTGCCTAATATTTCAGTGGCAGAAATTTTCAAGCTCTGTTTCTCAGTGTGAAAGACAACTGTAGTTCTTAGGTATAAAAATGCCCTTATTGAATATATAACTTCAATTTCCCAACAAATTTATTTGCCACATTTTGTCTGAGTATATCTGAAGCAAAATTTGCAGTAATTTGGCCCTTGGAGCTGGGGGAAGCTTAGATTTTCTTTCTTACCATACAAAGTCTCTGCAGACAGAGCAAAATGTAGGCTGTCCAAAGAAGGTGGCGATGAATTCGTGACTTTTGATGTAGTGGATTTTGGCTTGCTTGATAGCTCCTCTCCTGTTGATAGTAACTGTCCCCTCCTCTTCCCTCATCGACTGTCTGCAGTCTGAGGGGACACAAGAAGAGACACTTTTAATACTCTCAGGTATTACAGAGGTCAATATTTGCTTCTCCCAAATGTTCAGTTTGTTTTCCTGTTTCTGACTCGTGTTTCTGTTCATTTTACACCTGCATTCTGCAGACTTCCAGTCCATCAGGGTGGTACAGGTGCACACTCTGCTTCCCAAGGTGTCCCTGTGTTCTGTGCAAGCACTTCCCACTTCTGCCCACACAGAAAAAGCCTTCAGCTGATGAACTGAGAGCAAAGAGCAGGGATAGAGCACAGTTTTGATAGAGAAGTGACAACCACTGTTGCTCCTTGAAAAACAAATCTATGATTTCTGCTCTGTGATTTATGTTTAATATGAGTAAGTATTTTATTAGAAGCAGGAAGGTGAGCAGAAGCCTTTCCATGCTGCTGCTCCACATGCCCCCCTGAAGCAGGACTACAGCAGAAATTCACATGAGCTGCTGCAGGACCTTCTGCATGACCACAGGACCATCCTACTGCCAGATTACTTTCTTCCAGTCTCCAGGATCATTAAGCAGTGAGGACAAATGAGATTTTCAGTTAGACATTTCCCTTTTGCTGTTTCATAACATTCATGTTTTATCTTTCCACAAGTCCCAGTCTCATTCCTTTCCCCTTCTAGCCCCCATGGAGTCAAATTATTCAGTATTATAATAATACTACCTGCTCCATCTACTGTAGCATCTAATACTGGATCACATAGAAATCAGATGCAGCATGCAGCATTAAGCCAAGAAATAAAACAAATTCTCAGGCTCCAAGTCCAGCTGGCTCATACAGGTCCTCATTAGAGGTTATGGTTATTTTCACTCATTTCCAAGGAAGCTTCTGAGTTTCTTTTACAAAAATGCGAATTTGTGGCTGTAAGACTGAGACACAAACTCAGACTATTTAGTCTTAATTAGGCATTTCTGAAGGCATAGGGTTTTGTAGCAGAGATAACCCAATGCAGGTATATCAAGAGACTGGGTAATTGGGGATTTAACCTGAGAAAACATTTCTTGTCTATTGAGGGACAATCCCATCCACCAGGAAAAGATAAAGGCTTGAGCTGGCAACGAGGAGCTGATCAACTGCTAACTCCATCAGCTCTGGCCAGCAGCTTGTGGGTCCCAGCCTGGAAGAAATGTGGACATAGTTCACATGTCCAAAGTGCTGTAAAGCTGAGGGCAACAGCCCTCAGCCCTTGCTGTTTACAGGCTGGGAATTTCCACAGCAATGGAGTAAGGAAAAAGCCAGAAGAGCATTTTTCCCATCATCAATATAACAGCTTCTTAAAATTTGCTCCTTTGCATTGCTGTCTTTTATCACTATTGGGGGAGCCTTGCTTTTAGCACTGACAGAAGCAGACTTGTGTCCTTTGCCAAGTCACACTCACTGCAGTGCCTGAGCTCACTACAAAGTTACCCAGGAGCTCTGGGCTTCTGGCTGCTAGATGCACTTGGTTCTTGTCATTTATTTTAGCTGGCTGCCACCACTGCTATTCCAACAGACTGCGGAACCTGGAATACAATTTGTCATGTGACACCTCTCTGAGTGTCCTAAACTAATTCATCTGTCACAGCCAGCAGCAGCCACACTGCAGCAGCATGTGCTGTCTTAGAAAAGAAATGGCATAATCAGCTCAGATATTGAGGAAAGATTAAGCATATTAGTGAAAAGAAAGTTCAGAAAAGGTCTCCAGGTTTTGCCACTCGGTATTAATGTACTTTTCTGAGAAACTGGCCACCTGGTTCGGAGAAAAACCCATCCTGACAGGCCCTGAAAGGACCTTCCAGTGAGCACTGTGACAGTCCCCGAGTCACCCCTCCCCTCCAGGAACAGGATTCCTTTTCCTTGTTCAAACAGACTGCTGAATTCACCCTACACAAACTCTTCAGCTGCTGCACTTCAGCTCGTGGCAGTCTGCAAACTGTGCTATCTCTGTTTAGTCCTGCTGAGCAAACACACAGACCTCACCCACTGCTGCCCAAATGCTCCAGGGAAACCACACTGGTGTGCTGCAAGGGAAGCAAGGTGCTTGAGAGGCAGCAATACCTCGCACTGTTTGCTGCAGTAAAGGATGTCTTGGTAAGGGAAGATTTCATCAGTAACAGCAACAGAGCAGAGAAAGACCTTTTGCTTCATGGCAGTATTCTGAGATCACCTGTGATGCAGCAAATTACCAGACAAAAGCTTTTCTGAAGTCCATAACAAGCAAACCAAGTGTTTAGTGAGGAACAAACACCTCATGCTGAAATACTTGGAGCAATTTGGTATTGCTGATACTGCATGCAGAAGTCTCTGACAAGACTTGTTTTTACAGAAAACACCAGTGTTTCCTCCCTGTCTGAAGCCCTGACATCAAACTTAAGAGAAATATGTGAGACTGACACTTATTTCTTTGACAGAGTAATTGTATAAACTAATCACTTTGGGGATTTTTCCTTCTTTTCTTTTATTTTGCACATTTTCCCTAAGTATACTTTAATGGGGAAGAATCCTTGAGCACAGCAAAACCTCAAAATCTGCATGTGAGGACACAGAGACTTTCCAACCAGCTGCCTTGTTATATGCCTTTGCCAAAACCAACCAATATAATAAAGAATAGCTGAAAACACTTTTGTCTGGTTCAGAAGCAGCTGAGAGGTTTGGAGGGCAACTGTGAGTGAATCAGGTTCATCTGAGTTGAGGTGGCTCTGAAATTATGGTGTAATTTCAATTTACTATGGGCATGTTTAACAAGTTATCTTTAATGTGTAAATTGCCTTTAAAGTGCATTGCTCCAGAAAAGTTTTAAGGGGCTCAGCCATCCATAGGGTAAACTGGAGAATAAAGGCTTAATTTCAGAGATGTAGAGACAATCAACAATTGCAGGGAAGTAACTTTCACAACAACTGTATGGATGCAGGGTGGAGACGAGGGGGATGGAGAAACACAAAGGGGAAAACTTTGCTTCCCCCTCCAAGCAAGCCAGGATTTCCATAAATGAAATGCTTGTCATGAACCAGCACACGGTCAGAAAGAGCAGGTACAGAACAGCTGAATCAGCAGCCAGGGTCCAGGTGACCTCTGCAGCCTGGAGTTGACATTAATCATTTTGGACCCAACACACACCATTAAACATAATCTATTTCCTCTGTTCAGAGCTGTGGTTAATATTTATCACTGACATGTTTTATACTTCAAGGTCCTTTTCAAAACTTGCAGCTGATCTGACACAAACACCCAGAACTCCTCTATGTGAACATTCATGAAGAAACCACAAAGCAGGGCTGGGAATTGGCAGTGCAGCTCCCAGACTGCTGTGAACCCCCCCTGCATTCTCTGTTCAGCTCCACAGCCTGTCCTGCTGAATATTTCCCAGTCCCCACAGCCACTAACACAACACCCAACCCACTGCCTGGAAAACATTTACCACAATGATATTGCTGGGGCTCTGCTGAGCTGTAATAAACCGCAAGGTGAGGTGTCACATTGTCTCAACTGAACCTCAAAATTTCAACGACAAAGAAAAACAACCTCAGGAAAACCCTACTAATTTTTCTTAAAAGAAAGAATTGAAAAAATATTTAGCCTCTTCAGAGTTCATTTTTAATTTTAACCTGCTTATTTCATGGTTCTGTTTGTGAAGAGGAAAGAGAACAGTGCAACTGTCAGAGTCTGGGAACCAGGACTTCAAACAGGGACAGGAAAGGAATTTTCTGAGCTGGTTGCTCAGGCTGAGATTTGTCTGAAACTTTATAATTAATTACAAACCCCACTAACATTGCAGTGCAGCTCCCAGACTGCTGTGAACCCCCCCTGCATTCTCTGTTCAGCTCCACAGCCTGTCCTGCTGAATATTTCCCAGTCCCCACAGCCACTAACACAACACCCAACCCACTGCCTGGAAAACATTTACCACAATGATATTGCTGGGGCTCTGCTGAGCTGTAATAAACCGCAAGGTGAGGTGTCACATTGTCTCAACTGAACTTTCTAAGTCCAACGACAAAGGAAAACAATCTCAGGAAAACCCTACTAATTTTTTCTTAAAAGAAAGAATTGAAAAAATATTTAGCCTCTTCAGAGTTCATTTTTAATTTTAACCTGCTTATTTCATGGTTCTGTTTGTGAAGAGGAAAGAGAACAGTGCAACTGTCAGAGTCTGGGAACCAGGACTTCAAACAGGGACAGGAAAGGAATTTTCTGAGCTGGTTGCTCAGGCTGAGATTTGTCTGAAACTTTATAATTAATTACAAACCCCACTAACATTTCTGTTCAGTGTCTGTCTCCTTCTGCTGTTCTGCAGCCTTGCACTTGGCTTTGTTTGAAAGTTAAATGCACCTTCAGGTCAAGAAAAATATTAATCTTCCAGAGCAATCATTAAAAGGGAAAGCTGTTCCTGACAAAGGAGACTTTCCCAGCATCGATTGTCTCAGAGGCAAACTGCTCTTTAACCTGGTCCTGGAGAAGATTGCTTTAAAGATCATCAGTTAAAAATGATTAAAATACTAAAAATCCCAAGAAACCATTTACAGAAGTAGAAGTTTCCCAAAGCCTACAGTTCTGTGACATGAACTTGCTATGTTAAATCACTCTGGTCTTTGTGCTACCCCTCTTTAGAGGATCACAGGTTTGGGTTGGAGCATTTATTTGCAATGTCTGCCCCAGGCAGGGATACCTTGCCCTAGACCAGGTTGCTCAGAGCCCCATCCAGCCTGGCCTTGAACAAATCCAGGATGAAGTCCTGCCATGGCCCTGAGCCAGCACCAGCTGCTGCTCTGCAGCTGCTTCAGGGTGTATGTGTGTGACCTTTCCTAGGCATTTCTGACACCAGTGGCCTGGTAGAGAAGTGTAAAACAAAACACCAACTTTAACAAGCCCTGCTTTTCAATCCAGGATTAAAATCCCCAAAACCAAACACACTCCAGCCTTTGTAGTGCTCCCACCCACCCAGAGCTGCAGCGCGAACACAGCCAGTGCTCAGTGTACAGAACGCTTGTTTTACAGCTCAGTGTCTTGCTAAATGCTTCTGCAGAGACCTCTGGTATCTCATTTGTGATAATAAAACCAGGAATAAATTGGAAAATGGGTCTTCTCTCTTTTTCAAATTACACAGCAAAACCAACAGATACAGCATCTCAGTAGACAGACACAGATCTAAAGATACAAATCTCAAGCATCTCAAACTTCTACTGAAGGTACAAACTGTATCAGATTTTCTGTGCTCCACACAAAATGTTAGCTACCCTAGGAACCACAGACACACCAACCTGCTATCTATGAAATCACATCTGATTCTCCTAGAGAAATATCAGAAGATAAAGCCTGCAGATGTTTTTGTTCAGTTCATGCAATCTCACTTCTGCTGCAGATTAAAGGAGATGTGAGGTGCCACTGAATAACCTCTACATTAGCCAAATTTCTAGAAACATCATTTTCTCAGTTAAATTATTAAATCATACCAACATCCCCATGTACAATCACAAGGTTCACTTCTGGCTCTTCAGCCCTCATCACTACTATTTATTAAAAATGTGACCATCCTTCCGCAACACACCTCATCCATAGAGATATTTTCCTCAAACCTTATTTTAGGCCCATACAGTATCCAGACTGAAATGGCAAATCTGTTATTTACCCTATTATTTTCCACAGATAACTCAGAAAAATGCTGAGGTCTCATGCTTCCCCAACACTCAACACACAGAGAACAACATATTCAAAATATATGCAGCTCTGGTTCGGGTCCCTCTTCTAGAATTCAGAGAATTGAGATATCAAAAGTTTGCATGCAAATTACTCACCTTCTGGTACTTCTAATGGCATTTTAAGGAAAAAAAAATCACTGTCCCGTTCTGCAGGAAGCTGTAGCCAGCAAAACAGCAATTCAGAATTCAAACCCAAGGCACAAGCACAAAGCTGCTAACACTGCACAAGACGCTCAGGAGACTGAGGTTCTGCATTTTCTTACTCGAGGAGGTCATTAACCACATTTGAATAAACAAAGACCAAGCAAAGCATTAAACTTATTTCAACTCCCACCTATTAAAGCTAAAGCTGCTTTACAGAATTATAACCTAGTTTCAATACTACAACGAGAGAAGGAGGGGTAGAAGGAAAACAATTTCAAAATTAAAATTGAAGTTAACACCCTGTTCTCATGTTTCACACACAAGGAGAAAAGCTTTTGAATTTCCAGCACAAACTCATATTCAAATCACAGGACAAAAGACAAAAAAGTTCTTTGACAGCTCTAAGTCAGGGTTCTGCAGTCCCCATTTTAAAGGGAATAGGAAGAAAAAAACCATTAAGATTGGTAAGACTTTTAATATGCAGTCCTAAATTAACTGGACAGGCCGCAATCTGGAAAAGGAATATTCAAATGAAAAGTCTCAGTGTAGTCTACTGTGGAAGAACCATTAATACCAGCTTATTTTGTGATTTTTTTTTGCTCTAAGAATATACCTGTTAATGGAGCAATAACATTCTTATTTCTCTGCTCTGCACCACTGCAGCAGAGGAAAGCAGTTTTCTCTAAAGGTAGCAGAATGTATGCTACTTAGAAGAAAGGTTTAAAAAACAGCAGCTTCAGTTTGCAAAACAAGCCAAAGAAAGAATTAGTCACTTCTGTGAAGTGCTTGGAGCTTTTCAAACAAAAGGTAGCTCCTATAACTCAAAAGATACAAACGGCAGCAATAGAATAAACCAGGGAATACTTTGAATAAACCAGGGAACAACTGAAATACCAGTTTCAGAACAAGCCTTTTTTAGTCTTTTAGAAACACAGCTACCAGAGAGTTCAGTCTGCAAAGGCAGGTCAGAGGGAGAGCAAAGTGACAAGTGCATAGGAAGGAATGTGAACTGTCCCTGAGGGTTTCAGCAGGGTGGGGAATGGAGGTTGACACGAACATCCTTGCAAGGCACCAGCAAACCTCTCTGCTCTCACACTGCTAAGTGCTGATTTAACTGGAGAGAACGTTTACAGCAGTGCAATGATGAGCCAAAAATCAGTGTTTGCCTATTTAGCAGCATTACACACTGACATAAGGGAGGTTTCCAACCTTGAGGAGGAGTAGTTTGTTAAAATGTATTGGTATTTGCAGTGTTCACATTAAAATATCAGACTGAGTGACTTTCCTTCACAAAATGTAGATGTATCAAAGTCTTGAAAGGCAATTTCCACCACCTCTGTGGCTCAGTTACCAAAAATGTATTGGTGACTAATTTCATATAAAGGAGAAGGTTAATAGGAACTCATTGCAAAGTAGAAGGTCAAAGAAGTGCACTAAGATGCAAATATTAACTTGCCAATTAGAATATAAATACATGACTTAATGATCTGTTTGGTATTTAGGCTTCATCTACCACCATCTGCAATCCCTAATAAAGGCAATGAAAAGAACTGCAAGAACACTGTGTCTGTTTTTAAACTATTTTGATTACTGAGTAAAATTAATGTAATACTTTCAGCACACAAGTATATTACCTTCCTACTAACAGCTAATAATAAATTATGGAAGGTTTTCACTTAAGCCATTTCTACTTTTCCACATGTCTGTGTGGAGAGGAGGAAATATGCTTCAGCCTCGTTAAATAAACAACTGAAAATACAGAAACTGGGCTTGTACAGGTTTGCTTGAGAAACTTCTGGGTGTCCAGGAGAAATGGATTTCTGTATATTGCATTAAATATGTATGATCAGAGTACCATTGCCCCATGAAACAGCCTTGCACAGGAAACTATGACAAGACCAAGATGAATATTTTCTAATATAATAAAAAAAAAAAAGAAATCACTTTAAATGCAAATCTGAGAAAAGCTCCCACTCAGAGACTCTTTAAAGTCCCAGTATTTTTTTAAAATTTTGCTTTAAAGTGTTGACTTTCCATAGACACCAAAGCAACAAGCATACAGGCTGGGTTTTTGCCATCACAAAGACAAAACATCACCTCTAAAATGTAACCTATGCCCATCACATTCTATCTTCAGTATCTTCTGCACAGATGGTACAAAAATGCATGGCACCTTCTCAATGAACTTGCTCTGGAGAACAGAACTGTGCTCCTTCTATAAATGTCTGTGGGGGAAAAACCCACCCATGCTTCAAAATTTCCTGCTTAGTCTTTTCAGTTATTTATTAGCAGATACTATTAAACCTTATAACACTGGTAGGCTAATCCGGCAGACCAGTTATGTTATAATTACAATATTATTGCCAAGAAATAATGGTTTCATGACTTCTAGTATGGGAAAGTCTTAACTACAAGCTAAGCAAGTTGTGAGGTTTACAGCATTTCCTTTAGGAAAGGACTCTCCAGATACACAAATCCACACCAAGAGTCTTGGGTTTATTATTGTACTTGAAGTTTCCCTCCTAGTTAATTTCCAAAGAGCCTGTGTAGGTTTCTGAAACACTTTTCAAACTGCTACATCAGATCATTGACTAGATTTGCATTTTAATACTAAACCATTCACTATTCCTACAATCAGTTTCTGTAATTAGTGAATAGGATGTCTGAATCCCAGGAAACTCAGACCCACTGCTCCAATCCACAAAAAAAATTTCCCACATAAGCTAGAGCGAGAGATTCAACTTCTTTTCACTTAGAAAGGAACAGATAATATATTTTCTATCACATGAAAACATGGGAATAGACACATTAAAGATCCAAAAGTCCTAAATGCAACAGCATTTAGAAATGAACAAATCCTGCCATGAGTGCAAATAACAAAACAAACCCCAACCCAAACAAATATCTAGAAAGCAAATTAATAAAATTTATTAGTAAGATTCTATTCAGTACACCAGGTGATTTTTTTTTTTGTAAGCTACATTCTGTGTTCTGCAAAAAAAAAACCATCTTTTTTTCACATAACTGACTGAAAAGAAACTATTGACAATACCTGCATCTTCCAAAAAATACTGCACAGCCATCAGCACCTTCCCCTGAGGCTGAAGGTCAAGCTGTGGAAATAAAGAAAGAAAGCAACAGTGAAGTGTGTGGTTGACTGCATCTCTCAGGAATTTAAACAGCTCTTTCTAGGGTATCAAAGCAGACTATGCAATAACTATTTGATTACAATCCTCTTCCATATCTCACTATTGCAGCCGAGTCAGGGGCTTTTATTCTCCTGCTCTTCCTCATGTGCTGCATTGCTTTGATGTGCCCCAGGAGTTCAGCACGGTCAGAGTTCACATTGTTTGTCCATGGCCCTTTCCCGTTTCTGCACAGAAGTTTGCTGGCTTCTGTTTTCACTGTCAGTAAAGTCTATCTGCACAGGAACCCAGTTTTAAAAGAAGTCTATACAATCCTTTATATGTTTATTGAGAGTACAAACCATAGTGATATCAAATGCTGTTGCTGGCAATGAAAAAAAGTGGTATAATCAAAATTTATTTTCCTTTCCTCCTCCAAACCATTACACATGGTTTCTGTGGCAAATTCTACAGACAAGCAAAAAAAAATAAGTGCCTTTAAGCCAACAGCTGAGGTCAGTTCCTGTGCTCAGAATGCAGCCACTAATTCTTAAACTGCTGCCTTCATAAAAGATAAGAAATCCTTAACCACGTAAGAGTGACTCAATCTTCACTTCAGCACAGAGCAAAGTACCCCTGGGTTGCACTAAATACAACTTGGGATGAAAAATCCAGTCCCCAGACAAAACCAAACCACAGTTACATTAGATACACCCATGAACATATTCCCAGAAATCCCATCATCCTACTGGGATAATGAGTGAGTTCATCTCTAAGGCAGTGTCTGACACCCAGAACATTTACCCAGCGAAGTTTACAGAAGGCCAAAACCTCAGTTACAGCTATTAATGCCAGGCTGTCTCTCCACACACAAAAATACCCTTACAAGCTATGCTAAGTGCTCTCTTTGCTGGCCACGATGCTCTGCCCAAGTCATGGCAGGTTGTACAGAGAAAGTTTAACACTGATGATGTCAATGTGGTACCTGTTCTGTGCATAATAAGCAGAGGATTTGAGACCACTGGACTGGCTAAAACTGATCACTATTAGCTTTTACTCTTCTGAATAACTGCTCTGGTCTTAGAAATCAAGGCGTGAAAAAAGCCCCAAGTGTAACAGGTGAATACAAACTAGAGAGATTCTACTGACCTAGGAAAATCTGTAAGCCTAAAAGGCACAAGGCATTCATTCAGCTTGAAAGAAACAAAACTAGGTCAGCAATTTGGAGGAATTAATCTTTTTCCTTACCCAGAACTCTGCTTTGCCATTGCCTTTCTTGCACCGTTCTGCCAGCACTGACACACCCACAGTCACCTCAGACAGTGGCTCTTCTGCTGCTTTCATCAGCACAATCTGGATCACCCGACCCTCGTAAATGTGGGCGTCAAAAGTTGATTTCCATTCGGGATACATGGTGGGTTTCTTCTGAACCAGAGTTTTTCCTCTCTCTAAAAGCCACAAAAAAAAAAAAAAGAAAAAAGGACTGAAACTGTAAAATGTGCTCTGAAAGGCACCCAAAAAAATAAAAAAAAAAAAGGACAGAAACTGTAAAATGTATACAGATCTAGCATTTACACTCAACAAAATAAAAGAGGGAATACTTGTACTGAAACTACAAGCAGAATTACTACTTCTTTTACTGTTGTTGGAACAAGGTTCAAATACTCAGTTCAAAAGTTCATGACATGGAAGGCAAAGCCCACCCTGATGAACATGCAGAGGCAGTGATGGGGTTAACATGGAGCTAGAGAGCAGGAGGGCCAAACCCTGATAAGCTGGGTTAGTCAGTCACAACTTGCCAGGGAATTCTTGCATTCTGGTGTAAACCTCCATGAAGTGCCCTCTGATCATTGTGAATCCCTACTGCTATAAGAGAAATTAAGATAAACCTCACACTGACCCAGTTTAAATTGAAACCAGTGTCTAAGAGATGAAAGTCTTCACTTTTCATTCATCTACTTCCAAGTTACCCCAACATTTCACTTGTATTCTTAAGTCACTCTCCTTGGCATTGCACTCTACCATGACTGCTACTTTTTAAAGGATTTTTCAGGGCCTTATCTGTCCTCTGCAGCTCATGTAGACCTTGTGTAGTTAAGGAATAACAAAAAAAGCTAAAATTACCTCAAAAAATGACCTTTTTTCCTCTTCTTTTTTTTTTTTTTTTTTTTTGGTTTCCTTTAAGAGCATCTCAGCACACTCCTTTGTTAGGGGTTTTACATTGCTGTACTATTCTTATAAGATGGATTTTCTTTTCCTTTTTGCCAAGAAAGGCTGGAGGATCCTTCAAGTCCCTTCCAGCCTGGTATTCTATGATTCTAATACACAGCTTCAGTCTCTCTTGTTACCCATTAAACTGAATTCTTCCTATCCATATCTCAGGCACAGAAAACAGCCAGCGACTGCACAATCTATTATAAGCTTTGGCATATTTCTAGATCTGAGTCTCTAAGTCCCATCAACACATCCAAAGTGATGATGCCTCCTAAGAAACCACATCCAGCTCTTCATTGTGATTTTGCCACACCTCTCAGAGTCACCTCCCAGTTTTCCTCTGATTTGCTGCCAAGTCAGTTGTTCTCCATTTGTGTCCAGGTAACTGAATACAGTTTTCTACATTCTACACAATTTCTGCTATTCATCAAGATCTTTTAGTTTTGCAATAGAAGTGCTTTCTAAGTGCCTCTCCAGCTCTGAATGATCCATTTGCTTTTATGATATCAAGGCTGTAGAAAAACTGATTAAATAGTTGGACCCTTCCCCAGGAAGCTGCAGTGTGGTCTGTTAGATACTTAATGTTTTAAAATCTTCCTGGAATCTCAAGGTAAATTCAGTGTTCATTCATGAAGAGCTTGCTGGATGCACTCCACTCTGCAGACAAGCAGAGGGAATGGTGTCCTTGCACTGCTTTATTAGGGAATGCCTGCCAGCAGCAGCACTGGGAGTTACAGCTTGGACACAGCCCTGAGCCACTTGCCAAAGGAGATTCCAAAATGCTCAGAAATGGCCACCTGAGGACCTCTCCACTGCAAAGCAAACATCAGCATTCCTCCTCTACTCTGTCAAAAGCTTTTCTCTTGAATCTGGGGAACTGTGCAGACAGAAGGCTCAAGCCCTTCACAGTGCAAACCTACTTCCAAAGCCCTGTTCTATGAAAAAAACTTGAAAATATTGGCACAGAATCACTGAATTGTTTAGGTTGAAAAAGACCTTTAAGATCATCAAGTCCAACCACTAACCCAGCACCACCAAGGCCATCATTAAACCATGTCCCCAAGTGCCACATCTACACATTTATTTAGAGATTATTAGGACAGACAATAAAGGTGAGGAGGGGGATAAAAAGCAGGCTGTCTGCACAGCAAGGCTTTCACACTGGTCTGCTTTTTGGATTGCTAAAGCCAGACCCTTCATCAAAAAGGCACAATTCAGGAGGCATAGGAGAGATTTGGAGAGATTGCATATTTGCAGAACCTTTGACAGTAATTCAGGGTTTGCAGAAACAGCAGCAGTTTGTAGAGTTGGTAATTTTCTTTGTAAGATTCTTAGAAGGGGAAAGAATGATTCCAGTCTGTCCACAGCCTCTCCCCTCCCTAGTCCCATGTCCCAGTTAATATCTACTCTGATCAGTCAACTCCGTACATTTTTACCCTACATAAAACATTGAGAAGGTATCTCAGTTACTGGAAACAGCTTCCAGCCTGGCCATGCTGCTTTTGTCATTAAAATCATACTAATCAAGGTTTGTCATGGGTCACAATCCCTCTCTGCAAATGAACACTGAAGGGTCAGCAAAGGACAGCTTTCAAGAGCACTGTTTCTGCCTCTGCGGTGCTCCGGCCTGCTTGGCTTCTCTGCTCACACTCCTGACTTCAAAACACATCCCATGTTTGCAAACCAGCTCCATGCCTAATCATTAAGCTCTATGATTTTCTTCTTCCTATACAATAAATTTTTCCCTGACTGTGTTTCAGCATTCAAATCCAACAAAAAAGCTGTTCCAGATCTTGTCAAACTGACAACAGAAGCATCAGATTGTTTTCCTGATTACTACAATCCCTCACCTCTCCAAGCAGTTCCCTCTCCTCCCCTTTTTTTTAGTATGTCAAAGACACACGGAAGCAAAGACTGGGAAATATTGGGACAATTCTACTTTTCAAAAGCAAACGTCTGGAAAAAACTAGTGGATTTATTTAAATTACTTTCGTTTATCCACATATTCTGACAGCTGCAACATCTTCAACACCATTTCTTCAGAGGTTCTCCCAGCAGATTAGGAAACTACTTTGGAGCTTAGTACATTTACTGGATGACAACACTTTGTGGAAAAGGCACCATGCCTCGAATTTCAAGTTTAAATGCAGCTTTTACCCACAGCAATAAGGGGAAAGACCAATCACGTTGTGAGGAAGAAGAAACTTCACCCATTGCTGCATTCTTTGATATTTTGTGAATCTCTAGAGCCACAGCGCAGAACTAGAGCTTCAGTCTAGCCCAATACAGCAATTCCCTCTCATCCTGTCTGGCTGCAGTGGTGTATTCTAGCCAAATGTCACAAGGTATTATAAAACTTTGGACCAACTTCTGTAAAGATGAGGTCTCTGAAGGCTGAGGGCCTGGTGAGTCACTTGGTCTGTTCAGCTGGAGAAGACTGAGGGGAGACCTCCCTGCAGTTACAACTTCCTTGTGAGGGGCAGGCACTGATCTCTGCTCTGTGGTGACAGGGACAGGACCTGAGGGAATGGCCTGAAGTCGTGTCAGGGCAGGTGCAGGTTGGCTATTAGGAAAAGGTTCCTCCCAGAGGGTGGAGGGGCACTGAAGAGGCTCCCCAGCGAAGGTACACAGCCCCAGGGCTGCTAGAGCTCCAGGAGCCTTGGACAGTGCTCTGAGGCACAGGCTGGCACTCTTGGGGATGGTCCCATGCAGGGCCAGGAGCTGGACTCAGTGATCATTGAGGGTCCCTTCCAGCACAGCTGATTCTGTGTTTCTGTGCTAGGAGGACCTTCAATGTGAGTCATTTCAAGCAAACAACTCAGCCAAAGTACTTCAGTTACTACAACAATAACAAACTGCACCTCTCATCCTCCAAGCCAATAAAGACTATTAGCTGCTCTGTACTGGAGGACAGTTCCCTCAAACCTGCTGCAGTTCAGCTTCCTGTCCTGAGTACTAATAAAGAAACCTTGCTTTAAGGCGGGGGTAGAGAAAACAGCCATTATTATTTCTCCCATTTCAAAAGAAAAGATCACATTGAAGTGCTTGGCATGACAGGAAGAGGAGGACTCACTGTCATTCACAGATTAAGGAGGTTTACAGTAGTTCTCAAGAATTTACCGATATTCAGAAAAGCATCCCCATTTGTAACCTCACCTGTAGTCAGAGCTTCCTTCATCTTGATAGCACAGAAAGGCTGGAGTTGTTCTCCTTGATTCTGCACAGGTCCCAGCTCAAAGGAGTTGAAAGATATCCGTAGGAAGGGGGCCATTGCTCAGGATGATACACAGCCTATGTGGAAAGAAAGAAATAAAAATGAGAGTAAAAGACCTGGTCTGAGACATGTAGTAAAGTGACATTTCTCAGCAGACATCAGAGCTTCTACTGAAGCTACAATCACATGGCTTCTATTCCTGTATTGCTTTCAGGTGGCAATTCACAAATCCTAGGAAGCATCCAGAGCTAGTGATCCCACCTGTGAGCCTCCAAACCTGCACATGATGCCAGGCAAAGAGAAGAGGGACAGGTAGAAAGAGCTCCAGAGCTACTGTGTCACCAGTTTTAAAGAGTCAGGAACATCACAAGAATTCAAAACACCTATGATTTCTAAGTCAGTAAACAGGTGTTTCATTACAGTGATCCCTTATTCTTAAGAGCTCTTGAATTTAGAGCAGATTCCAGTTTATAACTCACAGCACCTTTAGCAATGGAGTTTGTCCTGTATGTCACATTGCTTTGTGATACAAAAAGGATTTATTCAAAGGCTAAGAGAAAAAAAGTCATTTGAGAGAAAAGCAATGCTAGTCCATTTGGAGAATGAGGGATGCAAGGAAGGAGGGATTAGGAGGAAAGAGATAACAAGCTAACAGGAAGAGATGGTGGAAAAGAAATTAAGACTTGAAACTGGGCTGGACTTTTGACTGAAGATTGTCAACCAGCTCAGTCAAGCAGCACTAGGAAGAACATTTCAAGCAATTTGGCATGTACTGGCATTTTTTTATGTAAAAACATTGACCTGAGAAACAACTAAGCTTTCTATCTCTTAAAAGGCCCTTACAGTCATTTAAATAAAAGACTAAAATCAAGTCTCTGCAGCAAGACAGCATAAAGCTCATAAAGCTCCTGACAGCATAATTTGCACATCTCACACTCTCCCCATGTGGGGACCATTTTCAATAAATGGAAAAAAATTATGACTAACTTTTATTGAGCTTTTTTTTCTTTTTAACTGACTATTTCCCCACATTCTTTCTGTGGAGTAAAACAAGAGTTAGAAGGCAAGTTTAGGATTACTTGGCACCACTGCTTATCCCCCTGAAGAACAGAACGCCACGACTATAATTCTCATTCATACAGACTCACAATAAAGCAATAACTCTCCCACACTACTCCACTGCTCATTGCAGCTTGGGGCACCATTTGCTGAGAGGGGAGATTGAGGTGACCTCACAAAGAAAGGAAAATAGACAGCTTTTGTAAAAATTAACAAATGCCATCTGACAGCTCACTTTCACATACACAACTTATGCACAGCGCTTATCAAGAGTTTTAATGAGGAACATATTTTAGCTGCTCAGGAGACCCTGTGCTCACTGTGTTCAGAACTACACCCCAGTGATCAGCTACAGGACTTGCCAGCAGCAGATCACATTTCATTACTACTCAACATGGATGTAAAAGAAACCAGATTTCAGCCTTGCTCACCTCTGGGAAACAGCTCTAAGACTCAGTGAGGCCATAGGAAGAAACAACATGTAGCTTAACATGTAGCTCCCACTGGAAGGTTTCTTTAACAGAATCACAGGAGAATTCTGCTGTAAGGGACAGCCCAGCAAGAAGTCACAATTTCCAGTCAGCCCGTTACTACATGAACACAAAAATTGGAAAGCACTGACAAAGCTAAACTAACAATTGCACTGATTTCACTCAGCCCACGTGACTCAAGCCAGTGTTAGTCTTGAGACAGAATACAAGGATTTACAACTTAGGTTGTGGGATTACTCAAAATGTGGATGCATTGTACCTGTTTTTATTGTATCTGATAACTTGGAGATAAAAATTTTTCTCATTTCCAATGGCCAAATACATTTGGATGCAATATTTTCACCTCTGCTTCATAGTTTTGGATATGGTTATTTGTTGTAGTTTCATTGTACTCAGCTTCCATGCATCTCCAATGCTCATTTCTCACTCAGAAATGCTACACACAAGTAATTCAGCAGTTAGAAGAAAACACCAACATCCCAGAGTTTTTGATGATGCTCAAAGTCCAAGGTCACAGTGGAAACTAGAAGAAAACTGTTTGCTTTTACATTTAACAAGAGCTTAAAAAGAGCCCAAACAAACTCAGCAGCTGCCTGCTCTTGCCAAGTTTCTCCACTCCTACACATAATATGCTTTTTTCACAGATGTAGAGATCATAAATGCCTGCATGCAAACTCTTCACTATATGCTGTAGACTATATTGTGACAGAGAGAGGTTAATGAGAAAGGAGGATTTGGATTTACTCCTCAAATACATCTTCTGATCCTTTCCTATGCTAAGATGTACTGTGAGATAGCTGACAAGGATCAGCTGTACTGCTGTAAACAAAACCATACCCCACTAAAACTGCTTTTGGCAGTGAAACTCTGTGAAAGAGATTAATTTAAACCAACAAAGTTTCTCAAAATCCCTGCTGAGTACACTCACGTGAGAACACATTTGAGAAGGAAAGACACTGAAAGCAGCACACAGGCTTTGCTTGTTGCAGTTTAGACAAGAGCCCACCTCCAGTTTCTGTGACTGTTACAGAAGTGACAGCACGAGCGCTGACTCTTGTTTTAAAGGCTGCATCTGTCAAGAACTGAAACTGCTGCAAAACACCAGCTTTGAATTGAGGGAGATCGTAAAATCTACTCATATAATCTGCACTGTAGCTATGAAGTGTTAAAGCCAAACTGTTTTCCCTAAAGGGCAAGATTTTATCCAAACCAAATGGTGGAAAAACTGAGATGTGAGCTCCAAGAATACTCCAAGTCTAAATGACAGGTTCAGTATGTCAAACTGTTTCAAAGTCAAAGTACAATCTGAAGAAAAAAACCCTAAAAAACAAAGGGAAAAACATTCCAGTAACATTACTCTAGATGAAGTACCTGGTGGTGGCCACACCTGGTGGTTTAGAGCACACCATCAGATGCTGTCCTGCACAACATTCACTTTGTCAAGGATCCCTGACCTTCTCTAATCCAAACTAAACACATGTTCTATGCTATCAGGGACAGATTCTGCAAAATGCACTGTACTTTCCATTGAGCTTTAAAATTGAGAGTTTTTGATTATTTAATATGGAAAGAAAATCAACAGTGTTATAATCAACTACAGAGAGAGAGGGGGAAACTGGAAACATCTTCACATCATCAGTGTCAACACCTGCCAGATGAACAAGTGCTCAATTTTCCCACTGATGTGTTTGTAACACACAGTTTTAAAGAAACCTTCAAAGTGAATTAAAATATTAAATATTCCAAGGAGAATTTTACCAAGATTTGCTGGCACAAAATTCACATTAGATTAAAAACCTTGTTCACAGACACCAAAGGGACAAAGGGTAAATTCTGCAGTGTTTCTCCTTCCAACAGTGCCCAGCTCTCAGGGGCTGGGAGGAAGGCGGTGCTTGCCAGGGTTCCTTTGTTGCTGTAATTCTGCCTTGTTATAAACAGCGAGGATAAGCCAGCCCTTACACAGCCCAGAAACAAAGACATGGCTGTAACTTTTACACAAAGCAGGAAGGCACATCAAAGCAGTGGATGATCTGGAGGAAAAGCAGTGGATGATCTGGAGGAAATGCTGACACGGGCTGACAACAGAGCACTGAAGAGACTGAAAACCAATGGGCCCAAACAGAGCCAGGCTGTTCCATCACTGATAAGGACCATGGATCCAAGAGAAATACAAGAGAGAAAACTCCCCTGCAGCTTTGTGCCTCTGATTTCCTTGTATTAGTCTGTGGAAGGTTTTGCAGATAGATGTAAAGCTGCAAGGCTGTTCCATGCTGTCTCACAGAAGTGCTCTGGGTGCCATAAAATGCCTGATTCCTGCTTAGCTCCTTGCTGAGGCCACTTCCAGGGCCACACAGCTGCTCTGGGAATCACCAACAGCACCACACACCATAAACAATGCATTCTTCCCTGAAAAGATGAAGCAGTCACTGTTTCTTCTTAAAGATGCAAAAATAAAGATTATATCCAACCTTTTTTACACAAGGGTTTCCTGTCCTCTACTCTGGCAATGGACAAGAAAGACAGCACCAAATTACTGGCAGCTTATTGCCCCCACAGCACTTCCAAACACAGGAACAAGGCTCTCTGTGGTCTTTGGGTACAGCCTGCAAAGGTGATTATGCTGCTTGCATGGCAATGATACAAGATTGTGTAATGCAAATAAAGATGCTGGAAGAGGGATTAGCATCTTTCACCTGTGCAGACTGGATGTTTTTATTGTTCCCATGTGTACAACCCACACTTCCTGCACTTAGATTCTTTCAGCTGATGGCCCAAGAGAGAAAAGCAGTATCTGTGCTGCAAGGACAATTCAATGAACCAAAGGAACATGGTGCTAGCCACTGTCTACATTGCACACCGAGGATTAGTCTACAGAGAAGTTTTGCAGGTTCTGTTTCAAGCCCTGGACTTTATTTGATGCTCTGTAGGTAAAAGTCAATCTAAAAATGAACTCAGTTTACAAGAGGCTTATTTTATTTGTTGTTACGAACCTTGTCAAAAAGATGCATAGCAGCAGCCTTTATCAGCTGGACTTCTCTAGGAACTACTGCTACCCAAATAAACCCTAAAAAGCATACTTATATCCAACCTCAAATCACTTTACATCATGATGCTGAACCCTCACAACCACCAGGGAGAGCAAAAAACCTCATTATTCTCAGGTGCTGCTCTGAAAGCCTAGAATCCACAGAGGGCTTAAGTGCTCTCCACAAAACAGAGCTAAAATGACTTCTCATTTAGGTTTAGCCATTAAGGTACAGCTATCTCCTATGAATGGTTTAATTTAGAAATTAGAATTGTGGGACTATACTCATGAAAGCAAAATAGATGCATCCGGTGATATGTAATAAGTGCAGATATCTTCAGAAAGACAAGGATAAAAAAAGCACTTTTAAAACAGCCCAACAGCCCAATCAAGTAGAATTTCTGCAATAACAGTTCTAAAGCAGTGCATCTTCACAAAATGTTTTTAAATTATTACACAATTCTATGAAAAGTAAAAAAAGACAAGAAAAAAATTTAACTCA